AAAAAAAAAAAAAAAAAAAAAAAAGAAGGAGCAGAGGTGGAGGACTCCAAATCTGGGGACGAGAGGCTCTGGTTTTGCGTGATAATAGGAGTGCTGGCCTCACTCTTGGTGGTGGTGGTGGGGGGTGCGGACAGACTGACATGGATGGATAGGACAGGGGGACTTCCCCTAGCCCTGACCTGCCAGGCCCTCCATATTGAAGGAGCTTTTTCATCCTCCAACCTAGGATTAAAAAAAGAAAAAATCAAAATTAATTCGAAGATTTCCAAGAAGGAAGTACCAGCCTTCCTCTAACTGTGGGGTGGAGATGTGCTCGTTATTAAAGTGCTACAAGACAATTCATGGGAACAAAAGGACAAACTATTAGACCCAAATTAACAATTTCCATGCAGCAGAACACAGACAAAAACATGTGTATGTGGGGGAGGGGTGGGAAGGGATGAAGTGGGGAGAAAACGCTCACAAAAAATAAGTAGGACAGACATTTAATAACTAAAGTGTGGAGAATATTAGGCTCCCGATGGAGCTGTGGGCTAAGAACACAGTACACTTCCAGCAGCAGGACACATGAAGAGAAAAGAAATATTCCCAATGGGTCCACCATTCCCCCACCGTGTGCCCACTGTGTCCCCAGGAAATACACAAGTGTAACTTGGTAGCTGTGATCTCTGGCAGGTGTCAAGGAGCCGAGGAGGCCGGAGGTGAGAGCTCCCAGGACCCAGGTAGGAGGGGGGGCCGGGGCCCTGGTTGCCAGACCGGAGGGGAGAAAAGGCCAGGAAGCTTCCTGGTTCAGCGACGGTTCAGCCCAGGACACTGCCCGTTGGAGGGACAGACCTCGAAAGGGCTTTGGAGAACCTGGACAGACAAGCCAGTTGTGTCAACGTGGGGGCATTTGACTTAGAGATCTGAAGACATTCTGGAGACTTAGAGCTCTGAAGCCTCCCTCAAAGTGCTCGCCCCGCTTGTATAAATCACAGAAACTTTCCTCCCCTGCCCTCAGCAGGAGCGGAAGCTTTGGATGTCCGTCTTTACCAGAACCCTGTGGTCTTTATAACCTCCGTGGTGAAGGGCCCCTCTGCATGTTGTGGAATTTCGGCGTCTGGCTTGAAGATGGCCTTTGTCTGACTCATGCACGCTTGGGGGACTCCAGGCCCCACAGGGGCCATAAGAGGCTACAGACAGGACGATTGTGGGGAGCTCTGAAAGAATGACCAGAGTCATGGCAGGAACCGAAGGAAGGCCCACACCCAGATGTCTGAGCATCCAGAACTTTCTGCCTTAACCTCACTGTTACATTTCCAGTGAGAGCCAGAGGGGACGTGTCGGGGGGAAGGGGTGACTTCTAAATATTACTCCATCCTGCCCCCATATTAAGCGTCGTGACCTTGATGCGCCTTGATTTTCAGGGACGCTGGACATTTAAGGTCTCTGCAGGTGGCTCAGAGGGCAGCTAGGGGGCAGTCCTTGGGGACTTGGTTCAGACCCTTGGAAAGGGACTCATTAGTGCTCCAGTGGAGTCATGAAGGCTAAATGCATAGGTCGAGCTTGGGTACAGAACTGCGGCAGAGCCTGGAGGTTTGGAGCAGAGTGTGGGAGGGCACAAAGGGGAGTGGACCTGTCTCCCTCCCCCTGCCTTTCCGTCCTCAGTTTTCCCAGCCCTCCCTCTCTGTCGAGGCCTCCTCTTATTTCTGGGACCCTACTTCCTTCAGTCAGGAAGGTCCCATTCTCCATGGTCTTCCTTTTCCTTTCTTCTAATAGACCCTCGAGGCAGACATCACATCGGTGGGGGCTGGGGGTCTCAGTGTCATCGTGTACCAGACATTTAGTGGGTGCTGTTACCCCTGTTGTCACCCCAACTCCTGAAAATAGTGTGGTTTTCTTGTTTTTTTTGGTGAGGAAGATTGGCCCCGAGTTAACATCTCTGCCCATCTTCCTCTATCTTTTGTATGTGGGACACTGCAACAGCATGGCTTGATGAGTGGTGCGTAGGTCCATGCCTGGGATCCGAACCTAGGAACCCCAGGCCGCCAAGGTGGAGCAGGCCAACTTAACCATATGCCATTGGGCCAGCCCCTGAAAACAGTGTTTTTGAGATAGATACTCTGGTCTGTCTTGACCACCACTGCCTGGTACAGAATAGATGGTTTGTTGATTGTTGATTGAATGAATGTGTGACCTCCAATTCACAGAAGTTAGGCGACAAAGCAAGTTTACAAAGCAGCTACATGAGGAAGTGGCTACCTGAACCTGGGCGGCCTGGGGCTCTCATTGGAATCAGGCTGCGTCAGATGACGGCAGCCCTTCTCTCAGACACCCCGACACCCCCTTCTCGTCCTGATTCCTTCCTGTTACGGCTGTTGCCCTCACCCCACCTTGACTCTGTCACCCGAGTGGGTCTGTCCTGTGTCTGGTCCCTGAACTACCCCTCTCACCTGATTTGAGTGGTGTTAGAAGAAAGGCTCTATACTGTCTGAGGTTTCTCTTTTATAGGACAGCTTCCTGTTCAGTGCGTGTGTTTCCTGGGACCCCTGAGCACCCTGCCCGACTCCTGTCTGGCCAGCCCTCTAGCCTCGGCTCGTGCTATCTCACACATAACCTGGCCTTTGGCTGCACAGAGAGACCCCTGGGCCCCCCCAAAATGCCAAGCTCCTCCCTCCCCATGTCTGCACTTACGCTGTTCTCTGTGCCTCTAGCATCTTCCACCCTCTCCTTGTCCCTTGCCCTGTGCCCTGAGCAGCTCCTGGGCAGGGCTGGGGGCATCCCTGCATGGCTGGGTGGGGTTAGGGGGCGTCCTGCCCGCTCTGGCTCAACACTTACAAGCTGCAATGCCCCCGGTGGGCAGGTCTTCCCCTCTGGAGGGAATGCTCCATGAGAGCAGAGACGCCTTCGATCACTGAAGGAGCAAATTTAAGCAGCATCAGGGGAGGGTGTGGTGAGTCCCCAGGTGCCGGGGAGCCGCTCTTTGGCAAACACAGTCAGAATGGCTTGTTCCTCGCCCTACAAGGAGCTGGCGCCTGCAGCTCAGATGCTGCCTGGAACGCTGGTGGGGTTGGAGGTTCGAGCTCCACTGCCCACCCTCAACCCCCTGAGCTCCCCAGTTGGCAGACAGGAACCCACCCAGGCTCCCGAGGCCTCTGATTTCCTCTGGATAGTGAAAGGGTAGGCAGGACCAAGGTGGCTGGTTCTGGGAGGTGTAAGGGAAACCTTCAGAGAAAAAAGTCTTTGTATTTACGACTCCCCAGGGCTGTGGCGGATGGAGAGGCTCGAGCCATAGGTGGTGCCTTGGGCAAGTCCTTGCCTGGCCTACTCCTTCTGAGTGAGCACAACTCTTTGAGTCTGGAGCACACATTCCTCTGCCAGGGGTCCACCATCACTCCCTTGATGAGGATCATCAGCAAAGCTCTTCAAGAAAGGGAGGTGGAAGATGATTTGTATGCAGAACAGCCCACGTAGGACTCAATCTTTTGTGTTAAAAGAGGGAGAAAACAAGAACACATGTGTATATACGTTGGTACGGAAACTCTGGAAGAAGCCGTGGTCAGTGGTACCTTGAGGGGTAGGTGGCTACTGGATTTGGGGGGCAGTGGGGGGGGGCAGAGACATTTTACTGTATGTGTTTACGTATGTATTTGAATCATGTGCATGTATTCAAAATTTTAAATAAAAAACAATGACAATAAAACAGAATATTCATTTTAAAAAAGATGATAGGCAGAAACGGGAGGTGGGCGAGGCTCCCTTTGAGGAGGGGCTGAGCCACAAATCACTCTCTGCGGGCCCCTCAGTGCTGACCCCTTCCCGGGACTTCCGTGCCGCAGGCCCTGGACACCTGTGTGTCTCCTTCTGTTGCTTTCTGGGGAGGCTCCTGGCCTCCTGTAGCTGCACCAGGATTCCCTGGCCTGGCAGCCTCACCTCGGCTTACGGTGGGCCGGGGCCTGGGGACTTCCCTTGTGGAGGGACTGTCCAGAACCCTGTCTTCCCGGCCAGGCCAGCTTGGGGCTCCGTGTCCCCGAGCAGTGATGTGAACTTGCTTCTACCATCCCACGAGCAAGGGTGTGATCCGAGGCAATGACGGTGAGAGCTTAAAAGGCCGTCATTGTTCCGTCAACCTCTTCACTGAACAATGGGGATCCTGCGCTCTGGAAGGTGAGGTGACTTCCCCACAGCCACGCACAAGCTGTTATCTGTACAGAGACGACCCATACACTGGGACGAATCACCCAGACCCATCTCTGGGAGTTTCTATTCCTGTAGACACCTGCAAGTCACAGCATGCTTGGCCTGTAAAAATAGCCCATGCCTCGGTCTCTAACGGGGTCTCCTGTCCCTCCTGGGCACGGGAGCTGAATCTGCCAGGCTGCCTTTCAGCCTGGACTTTCCTGAGTGACTGGAAGCTGCAAGGCTACCCAGGGCCCGTGGGTGAGTCTCAGATCTCCCAACGTGGAGATGAGAGGCCCTGGGGAAATCTTTGCTTGCAGGCCCCTCCGGAGCAGCGTGGCCCAAGGCTGACCCAAATCGCCGTGGAGAAGCCGGGGCTGGGGAGCGGCGTGGGGCCCAGCATAGCAGGGAACCCCCTGCTGACTGTCCGTGAAGACACTCAGGCAGGGGCTGAGGCGTCCCCCCGAACTGGGCCCTGAGGCCCTCCCGGCCCGCGAGTCCTAAATACTAATGTGTCCAGCGCCATCCTCCTCTCTGGGGGCAGTTGTTCTGAATCCTAAACCCCAGGAGCGCGGGAAGCCATGGCGGCCTCTTTCAGTTGCTGGCTGTCCCTGGCTGACACCCAGCTTAGAACATCTGCTGTGTGACAAGCTTCCTTCTTGTCCAAAGGCTTCTCCTGCCTCTGCTCACGCCCTGGATCTTGTGCAGTGCAGACCCCCCGAGAGGGCCAGAGTGCGGATCCTCTTCCTGGAGACGTGTTCCCCATGCCCCACTCTAGTTCCACTTAGAGGAAGGCAGCCCCGCAGAGCCCTTCTCCAGACCGAGAAGAAACCCCTCTGCCAGATAAGGCTGACGCTGTGGCCACTCGAAGAGCAGCTGGTCCCACCCCCTCATTTCGCTGATGAGGAAGCTCAGCCCTACAGAGGGAAGTGAGTCTCTCCAGAGCAGGTTGGCGACCAAGCTGAGAGGAGAAATGACATCTCACAGCTCGCTCAGCTGCACCGCACCACCAGCAGGTAACAGCCCCAGGGCCACTTAGAAAAACAGAAGGACGGAGCCACAGACTGACCTTGCTCTCATGAACTGCGGGTGACTTTCCTGAGGTCAGCAGGGCCTCCATGGCCTGGGCTCTGTCCACACCTGCCCCAGCTCTGTCCACACCGTCCCAGATGGCAGGGGCAGCGGCTGCCTCCGTGACAACAGCAGTGGCAGGCGGAGGGCTGGCTTGTCCCTGATTCTTGGTGACATTTTCTACGAACCCTCAACTTCCTCCTGGTTTGACTCAGGGTTGCAGCATCTTGCCGGGGTGGGGAAACCTCACCGTAGGCAGCCCAGGAGCCTTCTCCAGGGGAGCTCGGCTTGCGTGCCGTCACCCTCATTGGCCCAGCTCCCTGTTCCACCAGAATCGGGCAGGGAAAGCACCAAGAGCCCAAGATGACACACTTTCAGGAGTCACCCTGCAACCCCTGAGCAAGGTGCTCGTTGCTTGGTAGCCCAGGCCAGCCGCTTGCCAGCTGTGTAACTCCCCTGGCCTCAATGTACCTCTCTGGGGAATGGGAGTAATAATTGTTTTTTTCTCACAGGGCTCTTGAGGGCAGTAAGTAACAAGAATTGCTTGCCCCCCCAGTAACCACCCGGGAAGCTTTGACTGCTGTTGTATGTTATAACTGGATTATTCTCGAACCCTAACCAAGTGTCTCTTGAAGAGGCCGGGAGGGAAGATACCGTAGCATGGAGAACCCTGAGAATTCTAGATTCTTTCTTGAGAGTGGAGGTGGAGAACGCGAGGTCAGGAGATGTCTGAGGACAGCCTGGGTGAGGCTTTGTGCTGCCCAAGGTGGTGGGGCTGGGGGCGAGGGTGTGCAAGGTGCTGCCCGGAGCTCAGGAAAGGCTCGGGGCTCCTCTGGTTCTGACCGATTGTCCCCATCCCAAAGGGAACAGCTGTCACTCTGGAGCTGCCACAGACCAGGTCGTTCACTCGTTCCCCCTTTCATTTAATAAGACCTTCCCCAGCGACTTTTTATGTGAGCCATGGTGATCTAAGGGTGCAGGAGACCTGGTCCTTGTCCTGGGTTTGCTAGAGGACGGCAGGGACACTCCCGCATGGTACACAGATGACCTCCACTTGGCCACGTCAGGGAAATCACATTGGATGACGCAGGTGGATTAGGAAAGTGGACATATGAAGAAAGGGATGGGTTTCTAGGAGGGGAGGGGAGAGTCTGAGGGAAAAGGGTATGTCAGGTGGAGCCAGGCATGCAGAGGAGTGAGGAAGGGAGGCTGGGAGCTCCTGGACATACCCGGTACTCTTGCTGGTGATGCTGGTGGGGTGCCGGGGTGGGGAGAAGATGAAGGCGAGACTCAGAATGTGAGTTCCAGCGAGGCCCCTTGCCACCTGTTTGACCTTGGGTAGACTCGCTAGCTTCTCTGAGCCCCACTCTCCTTATCTGTAAAATGGGCATAATTATCACAACATCCCAGGAATGTACTGAGTTCCCTCCGCAGAGCACTTAGCACCCAGCCGGCCACATCTCAAGTCCCTGAGCTGGCCCACTCCAGCGCCACCAAGCTCAGCGTGCAGCTCCAGCAAAATTCTGGGGTCAGGGAGAGTGTCTATGTGCTCTGTCCCCCCTGCGTCCTGTTCCTTCTTGCATCATGTCCCCCAGAAGCCCAGCTCAGGCACAGGCAGATGAATTTATTCCCACTATGGTGTTAGTGGTAGATAACTATAACCAAGTAACTATTTATACTCCAACTGTTGCCTTCAACACTGCACCCCTGGGATTTCAGGTGAGGAACCTGGATGCGGACAACACTGGTCCAGGGGACATTCCTCCTCAAACTATGTCCCTCAGGCTGTACCAACTCTGCTCAGCCACAGGCTGGCCCTCCCATCTCTGTGTGGCTCGTACCACCAGTTTCGTGCAAATGGGGTTTCGCAGTGCGTGAGAGAGGGGCATCTTGGCCTGCAAACCTCTTAAGGTTGCCTTCTTCCTGTTGCTTATGTTTCTGGAAAGTCCAGGCCACCAAGGGAAGGAAGGTTGGCTTGGTCTGAGCCACGCAGCAGTTTAGATGCTCCGGTTATGCAGGCATAGGCTCGGGGCTGCCCGAGGAGGAAGGACAGATGGGCTGCCCCCATCTGTCCTTGAAGGTGTGGGCAGATGGGGGTACCACAGGGCACAGGCAGCTGCTGGAATTACAGCTCAGAACAAGGCCAAGTTGGCAGTAAGAAAGCCAGCTCGGCGAGGCCCCGGGCTCCCGGTTCACAGGGCTGAGCAGGGCTATTCAGATGAGAGAACCCAGACGGAGGCCCCACAGCTAGCCACAGCCAGGAGCAGAGCTGAGGCCTCTGGACACCCAGCCCCATCCCTTTTCGCTACGGGGTATTTTCTCTCCTCTTCATAAAGCACTAGAAAATATTAACATATTGACAGAAAGTTCCATTTCGGGGCTAAAAAAAACCCGGAAATCCCTCCACCTGCGTGAATTCCCTTGACAACATTCTGGATAAACAGGTCTCCTGCCTTTGCTTGCATACTTGTGGTGACAGAGAGCTCACTATATGGAAGGTTGCTCTGTCTGCTTTCAGACACTCCAGTGGCAAGACAGGTCTGCTTTCTACAGCATCTGGAACCCATTCCTTTTACAGCCCCGTGGAGTCACACAGTGGAGCGTGTCCTGAGCATTGGAGGTGCTAATATATCTATTCTTTTATAGATTTTGAGCAACTCTAGTCCTTTCTATGTATTCTCTTGTGTTGTGGTTTCCTGGCCCCTCCACATGCAGCCCCAGCGGACAGACAGCCTCTGGTGCATGGGTGATCAGAGCAGTACGGGGGCCACTGTCACCCCATCTTCCTCTTCTAGGTGCTCCAAGTGTATGAGGTGCACCTCATTTCTCATCTCCTTTCCTATTTACAAGAATACTTAGGAATTCCCATTTTCCTTGAAGCTGTGACTACATCTGTGTTTTGTGTATAAATATTTGTTCCTTTCCAATATTTCAGGAACGCCCTTCTGATTTTATCTCTGACTCATATTATTTAAGACACGATTTAAGAGAATGTGTAGCAATGTCTATTACATATTATTAATATCATGGTGATGCAGCAGAGGGTTGAGTTTTCTCTGTGGTCTGAGAAAGGAGAGTAGAACTGCCATTGCATTGCAGTCCTTGGCTGCGCCCAGAGATGGGATACATTTAGCAAAAGACTCTTGTCATCTTCCAAAGAGACTGTATACCCTTGATTTATGATGTAGTCTTCACTGATCTGCTAGTTCTACCTTATTAACTGGGCTGTTTAGAGCTCTAAATTTCTCTGTCTACTTGATCGATGCTATTCTAAGAGGGGAACATTAAGATCTCCACAATATTTCCATTTCGACTTCTTTTTTGCATTTCTGGCACGTTCCCGTTATGTCCTTCTTTGCTATGCTCATCGGAACATAAACTGAGTGTTTTATGTTTTAATTATTGATAACTTTTACCTTTGTGGAGTCTCCTCGTTACTTTCTCAATTCTTTTCACTAAAAATAATTACTTTGTCGTTATTAGCTTCTTTTCTAGGATTCCGTGTGCCAGATAAACCGTAGATAATCCTATCATTTTACTGTCTGTGCCTTTTTGTTTTCTCTGTACTTCTTATTGGCAAAAGATGATTGGGTTTTGATTTTTTTCATGGACACACCTTTTTATGAGGAGTGTTGTAATTGTTCGGAGTATTATAATTATGTTTTAATTGTTACATCTGTGTAAGCCTCTGGGGGTTGCCCCTCTGCTTTCTATATTGAGACATTGCAGTTTTTTCACTTTCAGTTTCTATTGTGAATTTTCTCTTCCTTTTGTCCCTTTAAAATAGACAAGATAATTTAACCTAAATATCCACTTTAGAAAACAGTCCAGTTTTAACTTCTACATTTGTTTCTATTAATAGCTCTCCGAACTTTGGGAGAATTATGTTTAAATATCTTCCCTTCTTTCACCCGCTCTTCATTGTCAGTGTGGCTTTTTTGGACTCTTTTATAGTGGTCTTTACTCCCTGTGTTATGCACAATTTTTATGATGCAATGGCTGACCTGTGGACAGATGAAACTTTTCTCTTTATTGTGGATCGGGGTCCTCTGGCTATTTTCTCATTTCTTAGGGGCACCTGTTTTCTCAGCTGTCACTTCCAATTCTCTGTCACTTCATGCTTTTTTCCCAGGTCCCTTGGATGCTACATGTTGAAATGTTCGTCTTTGACCCGGCAAGATTTACGCCCCATCAGCTGAACACTGGTTAGCTCATGCGTTTCTTTAAATTTAGTGTAAACTTCCCTCTTGCTCCCGCAGTGCCTCAAACACATACCTAGACTTTTCTTCTTTTAAGGGAAAGTCAAAAGCTATTCTTATTTTTCTCCTTTTTTCCCCAGCATTTACTACAATTTTAAAAAAAATTGCATTGTTTTCATATTATCATTAATTAGAAAAATTTGCCAAAAAAAAAAAGCAGAGAGAAATAAAGATAAAAGATGTAGAAATCAGCCACCATGTAACTGTTAGAATGCAACCAATGTTTGGCATATGGAAATTTTTTTCTAGGTTTTTTTCCCCTATGCGTGGGTTTCTTAAAATCATAGTTGAAATCGTTCTGAACATATAATTCTGTAGTTTGTGGGTTTTTTACTTAACATAGTCAGCATAAACGTAACATAGGCAGACAGAAAAATTTTCCATCGAGTAGATTTACCGTAGTGAAATTGAGCTCTTGTGGGCATTTAAATGTGTATGTGTATTTTTTGCAATCAGAAAAAACATGTTCAAGTGAACATATTTCTGTACACAATTTTTCCTTCTTTTGCATAATTTACTTAAGGCAAGTATTCAGAATCACTGGATGAAAGACTAATAAGATTTCTATGGCTTGTAATATAAGCTATCAAATCCCTGAAGTTGTGCACTAATTTGCGTGTTCATCAGCATATCAGAGACTGTTTCACAGAACCCTTGCCAGCTTCTTCGTTAATTTGATGAGTAAA